GCAGTCTGTGCCAGTACAGGTATAGATATAGAAAAGAGCAGCTTTGGTATATAGAACTGTACATTCATGAAGAGATTTAATTAAAGTTATTTTGAAGTTTTTTGGAAGGAGTTTTTTGCAAGCTTTAGCAAGATTAAGTATGATTTCATATTTGATATAATTATAAGTTTTGGTTTGATCTATTGTTGGAAATTGATATTTGTAGATTTTGAAAAATGGTTCGAACCATTTATCAAGATCCTCTTTGTGTTTTTTGAGTGATAGAATTCTAAAAGTTTCTGTAAATTCTTGTTTAGAAATATTAAGAGAGATATTAATATTGAATTTGTTATCATGTTGAATTTGAAAGAAAGGTTGATGAATTTTGTTTTCAGAAATAAAATAATATAATTAGAATCTTTTAGGTTTGATATTGAGATCTTCAAAAAATTTGTTAGCATGAATAATTTTGTAATCATCATGAAGAAAGAGATAGATTCTAGCAAGATTAATAGCAAATAAGTTACGATTTTGAATAGTGTAGAGAGTGATTGTATTGAAGAATAAAAAAATTTTTTGGTAGTTGAGTTTGGTGAAAAGAATTGTTATAAATTTAGATAAGAAAGATTTGAAGGTTGAGTGTTTGATATCAAAGAGGATTGTAGTAGCTTTATTAATTTTTAGATTTGTATTAAAAATGAAATTAGTAAGAAAATCAGGATGTTGACCTGCTATAGATTTAATAAGGTATTTAAAGTTGTTTTTAGAGGCTGGAATATTTCCTACTACTAGTTTTAGAATTTTTTCTGATATGAAATTGATGAGATTTGGCTTTAAGAAATTGAAGAGTTTAATTAAGACCTGTTTATTAAGTTGGATGTATTGTTCTATTTCTTCTGTTATAGGAAAGGTTTTGAACCAATTAAGATTATTTGAGGTATCTTCTTTGAGTAAAGGTTTTTTGGTGAGTTTAGGAAGGACAGATTTAAATAGTACTTTTTTTTGGTCAATAGGTATAAGACTAAATTTGATAAAATGAAAAGTGTTTTGTTGAGTTAGTGTTAAAGATTTAAATTGAGAAAGAGGTTTAATTCTAATATTGTTAATATATTTGGAGTATACTGGGAAGCCTTTAAGAATAGATTCGAATCGAAGAGAGTGTTTTTCATTTAAGAGAAAGACACAAGGAATATTTTTTTTGTAGCAGACTAAGCATATATAAACATGATAAGAGTGAGCAATAATTAGAATTTGCTGGTTAAGAGGATTTAAGTTTGTAAAAGATGTCACAGTATTTTTGATATCATAATTAAATAGAAAAGAAAGTAATAATATTGAGTTTTGTTTAATTAGTGATTTAGGAATTTGTTCTTAAAGTTTTTGGAATTATTTTAGTGTAATATCTAAAGATATAGGAGTATTAGGATTTGGTGTAGAAGTGCTAGGTCTAAAGATTTACAAAGTATGATATTTAGAAGTAAAATATATATAGTATTTGTTGTAAAGATAGTTGATTAGAGAAGGTTGAGTTAGTATATTAAAGTAGTAAAGTTGTTTAGCAGGTATGTATTGAGAAGGATTGAAGACAAAGGGTATTAGTTTGAGTTGTGCGAGATTTTGTTCATATATAACTATGCTATGTCTGTTGCTATACTTGGATATGAAGTAGTCAAGATCAAAGGAGTCAGATTTATGTTAGATAAGAGTAGACATGTTGTTAAGGTAATATGTTTGTTTTAAAAGTTGTTATAGAAGAGTTTAAATAGTTTTTTGATATTATATTTGAGATGAGAACGAAAAGAGCTTTAAGAAAAGGTATAGTTTGGTTTGCATAATGTAACACTAGCTATGTAATCCACAAGGTGGCTAGTGTAGCTAGTGTAGTACAAAGCCTAATATATGCTACCAAGCTAAAAATAGTAAGATTTTATTATTATATTGTACTAATTTAGAATTAGTACAAATATGGCCCTTTCTAAAGTTGATTATACCAATTTAGAGTATTACCTATTAAAGTAGTTAATAGATATAAATAGCTAGTCAGTAGATATAAATAGTTAGTCGATAGTTATAAATAAAATAAAATTTGTATTGTTTATGTGACTTATTAAATCATGTTTCTATAATTTTATCACATTGAAGCACGTCAAGATTATTTTTCAATGAAATTATGAAATTTTTAAAAAAATATTGATATATATATATTGTGAATTGTGTGATAAGTAAATAATAAGTACACAAATTAAATATAAATTATCAAATAGTTCTTTTCTTTAAATACCAAGAATAGGTTTCTTCAGTTTACTATTTATTTCACATTATTTAGAAGATATTTAATATATTAATCAAAGTAAGTGTTAATTTAATAAATTATATTTACATTAATCGATGTATTTATTTAGATTTTATTTCACTTTATTCGTATTAGATTAGTAAATATTTATTAATCGAAGTATTTAGAATAAGTTATTAAGGTTCTTAAGATTTACATCTTATATTAGTATTATTTAACGATGACATTTACTATTATTTAGGTTTTGCATTATATAGTCCTTTCATTAACTCGTTAATTTAGTGGGTGAGTAAAAAGAACATTTTATAATTTTGTAATTAGTTGGTGAGCATAAAATTATATTTAAGGGTTTTCTCAAGTGTCTTAATCAATAGATTAAAAAGTGCAAGAGAATAAATTTACTTAGCGAAAATATTTTTAGTAGGTCAAGTGTTTATGAAGTATATATGTATATGAATTTGTTAAAGTTTATAGTATTAGAGTGTTCTCAAGTATCTAGATCAATAGATCGGAAATAAGTTTTTAATAAGTAGCTAATCAAGTGAGTTCATTGTAATAAAATAGTCATCACTTAATAGATCTGTTGTAAAATTTTAATTCGTCAGAATTTGAATAAATTAATCAAGAGAGTTATTATTTTGATTAATAAAATCTGGAGCTGCAACTACTAATTTTTTTCATAAAATTTGCTCAGATTGGTTAAAATTTAAATTCTGCAATTTGTACAATAAATTTTTACTATATCATAGATTTGAATAATAATTTTAATACAGAATGAATTAAATATCAGAAATTAAGTGTCAAGCCCAAAAATTAAAATTAGTAGGAGGCCAATTCTCCTCTAAGAAAAAGAGGTCCAAGAATGCTTTGTGACAAACAATTTAATTGACTAAGTTATTTTAAAAGATAACGAAGTCATAAAGTGTTCTCAAGTTTTAATTAATGAGTTAAAAATTGTTGAGAATAAAATTTTACTTAGCAGAAAATATTTTAGTAGGTATATAATTGATTTATATATGTTACAAAGAGAATGAAATTACTAATAGTGAATTTTTTGGAAGACTTTATAAAACAACTAGCTAACAAATCAAAAAGTTTTGAGAATATTAAGTGATGATATGACTTTTCAACAGAGATAGGTACTTATATTCATGGTTTTAATTTCACTGATAATGTTATTAATAAATTATCTTTATACTCACGTATTATTTACTTTGTAATGAAGTATTTAGAAATAAGTATTTTAATTCTACTCATAAATAAGTATTTGATAAGTATTTAGAGACAAGTATTTAGAATAAGTATTTATACTTATAATTTCAACTTAATAATTTCTAACAAAACTATTTTTACGATAATGAAACATTTTGTTAGATATAATATTAGATAAAATATTGACAATTGACAAAACTCCTGGTGAATGACAAAACTCTTAATGAATTAATTTGACCAATAAAATATTAAAATATATTAACTATTTTTCAACAAGCTTCTTTATAGCTACCTCTGGATATACTAAACCTTAGGTTTTTTTTAAATTACTGTTATTTCATTATAAAGTTCTACCAGTTCATATGAAAATAGTAATTTAATAAACTTTTTTCTTTCAATCTTCAGTTGTTATAAATAAAAAATTGCTATACAAAAATTAATAAGCTATACGGATGTTAATTTTTACTTCTATATTATGTAGAATTTAAAGCCGTTACTGATAATATATATTTTTTTTAATATCAGTAGTTTTCTTAATCAAACTTATCAGATACCTCTAAGTGATTAATGTCTTCTTCAGGTAATATTGGGTATATGTATCATAAAAAAAATAATAAAATAAATAGAAAATAGGTAAATATGATAATACAAACATAAATATCTATTTCTACATTGACTAATTTATTTCTTCAATGAAAGAAAAAAATAATTGTCTTATGCTTTATCAATTTTGTCAATCGTCATAGGTTTTTTAATTATCAATTAGAAATTGCTTGATGAATAGTTATATCAGATATTAATAATGAATAATTCATCATTTATCAGGAATCATTATTTCAATTCTACCCAGTAAAGAATATTTGGAGGTAAGTATTTAGAGATAAGTATTTATATTTATAATTTAATTCTATTGATTAATATTAATAAATCATCTTCTGGTAAAGTATTTATATTCATTATATTAATTTCACTTATAAAAAAGTATTTAATAAGTATTTAAAGATAAGTATTTATAATAAGTATTTATGCTTATAATTTTAATTCCACCTAGTAAAGAATATTAAAGATAAGTATTCAGAAGTAAATATTTATATTTATAGTTTAATTACACTGATTAATATTAATAAATTATTTCTAATAAAGTATTTATATTTATAATTTTAATTTTATTAGTAAAGAAGTATTAAGAAACAAGTATTTAGAATAAGTATTGATATTTATAATTTTAATTCTATCTAGTAAAAAATATTTGAAAATAAATATTCAGAGCTAAGTATTTAAAATATTTATAAAAAATTAAAATTTATTAAAATAAAAAATAATAAAATTTATAATTTTAAATATAATTATAAAATAAAATTAGAATTAAAAATAAATAAAAATATATAGTTTTTTTATAAAAAGATAATTATAATTTTTTTTATAAATTTAAACAAATAATTCTTAATAAATTTTGTTGTTTAATTTTTGCATTATTATTTGCTGAATCTTTATTATTATTATCTGTTTGATTATTTTACTCAGTATTATCTATTTCTAATTCAGAATTATTATCTTCATTATCTTGTTCTTCTAATTCAAAATTATTATTTTCATTATTTTGTTCCTATTCTTTATTATTATTTTGTTCCTATTCTTTATCATTATTTTTTTTTACAAAATTATGTAAAATTAAAGCAATATCAATTATATCAGTTCCTTTCTTTGTATCTTTTAATCTCATATCTCTTAAAAAAGGAAATCTTGTTTTTAGTCTACCAAATGCTTGTTTAATAACAACTCTTGTTTTACTATGAATAGTATTAAAATATTTTTGTTGTTGTATATCTAAACCTTGTAGATCTTTAAATAGTGTTATTAACCATTGTAATAAAGGATATGCAGAATCTCCTACTAAATAATCTTCATCTTCAATAAAAAGACTATTATTTTCATATATATATGAATTTTTAAATGCTTTTGCATCATGAACTAATACAGACCAACTAATTTGATAAAAAATAAAATGTCCTTTATGATTTACAATTCCTTGTAAATGAAGAGCATATCTATGTTTACGAGAGAGATATACATCCTTATTAATTTTACTTAGTATTTCAATTAATAGTATATGTGAACCATCAATAGCACCAATTACTATAGGTAATCCAAATTTTTCAAATCCCTTATTTACTTCTTCTCTATAATTTCCACAAGGCCAAATAATATATTTTTCTTTTAAAGAACATATAGCAGTAATTATTCTATCTAAAAAATTAAGAATTGTTTGTTCATATTTTCCAAATAAAGTTGCAATAGTCCAAAGAGAAGCATTTGATCCAAGTCAATATAATACAACTGCAAGTTGTATAGCAATATCTGTTTGATTATTATTAGAATTAGAATAAAAAACAGGATGAAATTTAATTCTATTAACTAATAACCAAAAAGTTGATTTGTTCATTCTTAATGTTTTTCTAAATTCTCTATTATCATAATTAAATAAACAACTTAAAACCCAATCATAAGATTTAGGAATTTGATTATAACTAATTTTTGAATTTAAAATTTTGTGATAAAGAATTAATTGTTTATTAAATTCATTATCTTGATTAATATCTATTTCCTCTTCATTATCATTTGATTTAGCAAATATAGTGAGATTAATAATATTTTGTAATTGATTTTTTTTAGATGCCATGATTAAACAATAATGATTTTAAAAGATTAAGTATAAAAATTAGTTTTAAATAAAAGTTCTAATTATTAATTTTTTTTTATTTTAATCAAGTTTTAAGCACTCTTATTTATATTTTTATGTTCTATTACAATTAGTGATACAAGCAAATTGTCTTAATAATTGTAATAATCTGAGTTTAAATTGCTATAATTATTGTAAATAATAAATTACCACTATAATACTATAAATATAATAATAAGTTATAGCTATAATACTATAACTTATTATTATCATTATTATTTACAATAATTACAGTAATTTAAACTCAGATTATGATAATAATCAGGATGATTCACTTACATTATTAATTATGATATTTCAAAATAGAATTCTCAAAATTTAATTATTACCAAGAATATACGAATTTTGTGATTTGCTATAATCAAAGTAAATCACAGTAAATCACAAAAAATATGTGATTTGTTTCGATTGCAAAATGTAGTATTAGTAGCTATTTCAATAATAATATAGTCAAATTTAATAAAATTATTGTAATATTTTGTTTAGTAATATAAAAATATAATAAAATCTTATATTTTAATAACGTTAGTTCAAAAAATTTTACATTTCTTAAAAAAAAAAAATTTAGTGCAACTCACTTTTTTAAAATTATAAGTTTTTTTGTTTTTACAAAATAAAATTTTATATATTATGTTATTAAATCAGTACTTTAATTTTAATTATCAGTTAATCACAGTAAATCATATAATTTATTGTTATCAAAAACAGAATTGATAAATTATATCACAGATTTTGCGTGTTCCTGATTATTACTTTCTAAGATAAAATATTTAAGTCCACAGATTATTAGTAATTATAATTACTAATCATCATGAACTTTGAAAACTGCAATTATACGTAATTAATTTTCAAAAATCTAATTTTAGAATTTTATAATAATGTTATTAAATATTTTTAATTTTTATTTACAGTTGTTTTTATAAATTCTAAAACAATGATTAAAGATTATTCAGCATATTTAATAAAGTTTTATTACAATTATTATTATTATTTCTAAAACAAGATAATATATTAATATATCAGATATACTATATAACCCAAAATTACTAAGCTAACGAACAAATAATTCTTCATAGATTAAATAAGACAAAATTTATAACTATAATAAGAATTATGTAATTTAACAAGCAAAGGTCCTTGCACTGCAGATCTAGGCAAAAAGGTTTTTTTGTACTGTTATTAATTTCTGACAGATGATGAATTATCTGTCATTGACATCATTTATCAAACAATTTCTAATTGACGAATTAATAATTGATAAAACCTATGATAATTGGCAAAATTGATAAAGCATAAGACAATTATTCTTTTCTTTCATTGAAGAAATAAATTAGTTAATGTGGAATTAGATATTTATGTTTGTATTATCATATTCACCTATTTTCCATTTATTTTATTTTATTTTTTATAACACACATACCTAATATTACCTGAAGAAGATATTAATCACCTAGAGATATCCAACGAGTCTGATTAAGAAACTGCTATGAATCACAAACAAAGTACACTTGGTCTACAATAAAGTTATCACTTCGTTAACAAGTTTCCAATCAGAGTACAAAATTTCCGAATGCTGAAAACTGCTTTTTTTCCAGTGGTGTTTATTTTAACTAGAACTTAAAAAACTCAGCTGGATGTAGCAGTTTTTTAATAATAATATTGTGATATTTATTAATATTTATATACATATGTATATATGATATTATATTCAGAAATTTTCTACTGATGAAAAGTCAAAGCAGAAATTGTTATGACGAAATAGAAATCAAAATTTTACAATAAATTTTGTGCTCTGTTTCTAATACATGCGATTATAAAATTACCTGTTAATATCTATATTACTAATGACTTATAACAATAATTATGCATATATATAATTATTAATAATGATATTAGAAAAAGTAAACCTTTAATAAGCTAGTATATTAACAATTACATTATTAATCAGAGCAATATCGATATTTGATAAAAAAAAAAAAAAAAATATCGTTATCATTATAGTCATTATTACTATTCTAAATTTGTAACTATAAAACCTGTTTGGTTCTAGCAAATATTAATGAATGATAGCAAGCTGTTTTCTTAAGTATAACAATAGTTCATGCATGCTATGCTATCCAACCAAATTACAACAAATTTGAACTAATTTTCTTTCAACAATTTTTTTATATTATCTAGTCTATTATATTGAATCAAAATAAGTTAATCCTTACTTCTACTTGATTATCCTTAAATTGTTAGATCAGAATTATTATACTAAACAAGTGTTGTCTTCATTGAATAAGGTCTACAGAATTTATCATTCTCAGACATAATTTGCATGTTTAATTTTTGATTTTTTCGATGCAATTTATCATTCTCAGATGTAACTTGTATGTTTAATTTTTGATACTTTCAATACAGAATATCTATAATTTTCTATTATTATTAATTATTTTATTTTTGCTTATGTAAAGATCATTAGGGCATTCTCAAGCATCAATATGGTGTATAACTAGAATGATATTTATACGTACAAGGCTTTAGATAAAATTTTGATTATGCAAATTATCATTAATATTAATCAGTGAAATTAAAAATCATGAACATAAATACTTATTTGTAAATATTTAACTCTAAATACTTATTTACAATTAATTAATTACCTAATATCTTTCAAATCATTTTGATGATTTATTAACGTTAATCAGTGAAATTAAAATCATGAACATAAATACTTATTCGTAAATACTTAACTTTAAATACTTATTTACAATTAATTATCGAATACCTTTCAAATAGTATGTGAGTATAATGATGATTTATTAATATTAATCAGTGGAATTAAAATCATGAATATAAATACTTATTTATAAATAAATAAATACTTATTTACAATTAATTATCTAATACCTTCAAATAGTAGGTGAGTATAAAGATGATTTATTAACGTTAATCAGTTTTATTAAAATCATAAATATAAATATTTATTCATAAATACTTAACTCTAAATGCTTATTTACAATTAATTAATTACCTAATACCCTTCAAATAAT